ATCAACAGCAATTTTCTCACGCCTGTTGAAAAATCGAAGGTACCAGAGGTCCAAAGGCCCTCGGGGCACTGGGAGCGGGTCATTGGTGAAGGAGGGATTTACTCATCCTAAAGCTAAAATATCACTTTTCTATCTATTCTCCTCTTTGTTTTATTCAAAAAAAACCATCGGCCACTTTGAATGGGATGACCTAATAGATATGCTAAGTGACTAAAGAACCCCTAGTACCTTCACTTGAAGGCGAATCCCGCGATTGCACATTGTGGGTAGTGACGAACAATAACGAGGAATTAGCGCAAAGTGACTCTTTGGGGAAGAGAAAAGCAAAAAAAATCATGGGAAGATCCTTAGTAGGAACCTGATAGTCTCTCTGGACGAGCTTTCCGGATCTGGTCATTTTATGAAAGCAAAGCGATATCCTGCCGCCTTCGGCTCACTAATCATGTTCTTGCGTCATCCAAGCTAATGCCGTAAAAGTGAAAAGAAAAACGGAAAACATGGTGTAGAAATGGACTCGTGAGAGAGAACAGCATTTGAATTTTGGTAGGTGGGACAACTAGAGTGGGGCAGGACTGCTTATTGATAGGGCCGCAGCATCTTCGTTACCTTTGTTTGAACCGTGAAAAAGAGATAATCTTGGAGACTGAAGACCAGTTTACTCGTGAAGAAAAGCGCACGAATTTCTGGAGCGCGGGGACTGTTTCTGAAGAAGCCCATCTCCCTTACTTCTTTGCACCTTCTGATGCTTTGGCAAGTGTTGTCCGCTAGTCTGCAGGATTCTGGAAAAAGGACTTGGAAGGGTAACAAAAGCAAAGGGTTGAACATTGGCTGACCCCAACAAATCCGTGTATAGATCGTACCGCAATATACAGTATGCAGCTATGATTGCGAATGGAAGGAGGGTGTGGAGCGCATCCCGAATGGGTTTGGTCAACGGCAAAAGCTCTGTGTGGAGCGCACCCGAAAGGGTTTTTTCAACGGCGAAAGCTCTATCTTTTGTTCCTTATCCTGTTCGTAAGATGACTAGTAAGCTTGCTTTGTATAGACAATGCTTACTGTCATTGTTCCAGCCACAAACAAACTGTAATTATTAGGTCATCCCATTCAAAAATGTGGAAGGTTTTATTCACATAAAACGAAGAGTAAAACAGATAAAAAAACATAA